ATCGCAACGCAAGTGCCACCACCAACGAACTACATGGACTCAAAAACTGCCTCCTAGAGTCCTTCAGACAAGCTACTGCCTAACATTTGAGGTTGTAAGTGCCACCACCAACGAACTACATGGACTCAAAAACTGCCTCCTAGAGTCCTTCAGACAAGCTACTGCCTAACATTCACCTTGAGGTTGTAAATTTTAGTAGCATTGAATCCGCTACTTTGAGAAAGTTCCAGGTCAGCAAAAAAAACCTCCAGGAATACGACAAGCAGTGTCTTCTGGGAGATTTATCACTATCTCTAATATGGGAGTGATTTTCCGTCATTATCCACCGTTGTTGAGCCTAAAGCCGGCAAGTTTTATTTGTCGTTCAAACTAAATTACTGGGAATCGACTGAAGAACGCGGGAACATGGTGCTTAGGGATACAGATGGGTTGAAGTTTACTGCTGCGAGGAACGGAAGGAACTAGCTGAACACATTGCAGCTAGGTTGCTGCCATTCCGGTAGCAGCTTAGTTTGAAGAGTTGAAATCTCAGGGCTCCATCTTGCTTTCAGCATTAAATTTGGTTGAATGGTAGACCTGGTTGTACCGCGCTCCCTTCATTCAAAAATGAGAAAATGACCCCATCACCCATGGCTGAGTGTACGTGCTTGTCCGTAAACCGTATTGGTCACACGCGTTGGCTGACCGTGACCTTCACCCCAGCAGACGGGATGTGCATTCCTCATCTGGAGCTTGCCATCCGTGTGCTCATACCACTTGTCGTTTGCGTGTATTCCGCCCCCTCAATTTGTTTCAGTGCTCCCAGCTGCTGCCTTCACATTTTTATTGTGAGGTCAGTAAAGCATTTAGCTTCACAGAAACAGGCAACCGAATGTTTGAGTTTTCCGCGCCATTAAAACTGCTTTGTTTCATGAGAGGTGCGTTCCTTGCCTGGCTCCCGTAGCTGACTCAGTCAGCGACGTCGAACCGACCTAGTGTGTCAGCGGGGGGTTCAAAAACAGTTCATAATAGTTTACCAACAAAATGTGCTTTTCAAGGAACAACTATTTATCGACTCAGTCAGGCCGATAAGCACCGTTTTTGGCTGGTATTACAGAGCATGCGCGGTAACCGATTTCCTGCAATACATTAGTTAGGTTTATCCAGCGCTGGTGGACGCATGGTAGAACGCTTACTCGCATATCAGGTATCCGGAGTTCAACTCCTGACACACCCAAGGATATGCAATGCTGAGAAGCTCTGATAAGAGAGAAGCTGGAGCCCAGTGCTTCCCTTCTTCGGTGTAGACTGCACCAGGACAGGAAGAGGATTGTTCAATCGAGAGTGACGTGGACGTGAACTACATTACTTTTTAATCGAAGGGAACGATGCCATCGTAACATTTTTTGTGTTTATGGTGGCTGCCATCTAGTTGGATAAAGGTACTGTTTCCTCTGGTCAAGCGTCCATCATCCTCACTCAGCATTCTACGGGAGTGAGGTTGTACGCCAAGTTCATCTCAATGGCGTTACTCAGCACTTTTAAGTAGTTAATTGGTGAGCAACTTTTTCGGACCGAATTAGCTCTTATGGGAGAAAAACATATGGAATATCAGTATTTCTCGAAGAGGGATTAAAATTTAAATCACGGCTGGAACAGTGCTACCAAGCGGGATAAGTCAATCTTGCTTTTTAGCAGAAAACCCTAGAAATATATAACTCAGAAGTAGCGACCCAGGAAAGCTTGAAATCGATGCATCCATGCTGATACTGGTTATTCAGCTATTTGGATAGTTTCGTATGTTTGCGTTAAACGTTCCTCATATATCGTCGGGATTACTGCAGGCTAGCCTCGATTAAAGGAACCCTCTGTCGGGCGATTTTACTGTACACCCTATTGCGGTAATAGTATGGCAGAAGCTAGACAGTTGGACAAACGTTTAGCCACGCGGTAGTTCATGTATCCTAATCTATAATCGCTCGTCCGCCCACGTTTCCTTGATGAACCGATGCCTTTGGTGTTGAGGTAACACGGACGCTTCTGTGAATATCTCCGGTTCGTACAAACTGCTCGTTCCTTTCACGGCCGTTTCGGTCATCTGTTACGCGCCTTTACTGTTGGTCCTTCTCAGGGGGCTATGAGCTACTGGTTTCTGCTGTTATTTGCCGTTATTTCACGCCTCCGAAATGGGTCTCTGTGTCTTGAGCACCACGTGACTCCTCGGCTGCTTGCTCATCATTCCGATCCTGGTTTACTTCTCAGTTTTCATCTCATTGCTCTATTCTCAACACTGGCCTCATCATTTTTATTATGCCCTGATTTCCGTTAGTGCACCGCCTGTTTGAAAAGGTTCGATTCATAACAAGTAACCAATGAATACTCTTTGTACCGCGCAGATTTACGAAGATGTGAAAGAAGAAAATATTGTCAGACGCATTGCTGAGGCAACAGAACCTGATGAGGATCTGCCCGCTCTGGGTCAGTTTTTTTGCGTGTCTTGTAACAAGTACTTTATCAACGAACGCACACTCCTTGTCCACAAGACTGGAAAACCGCACAAACGTCGATTGAAAGCTTTGGTTGAACAGCCGCATACACAAGTGAGCACGATATTCTACTTATGTGGTTGACTGCCATACAGATACATAGGCTTTTTCATTTCAAAGAACACATTTCACTGAGAAACTCATGATGGATAATGATCTTTCTGAAAAGAAGTAACGGTATTAGTGTGCAGTATACTGGAACTATCGAAATTTATGCCTTCTTAATTTGAGGTGGTCTTTGGTTGAGGAGGCGGAGGAGTAACGTATTCCCCTGGTGGGAAAAAATCGTTCAGCCTTAGCACTCTTTAGATGCCTAACTGCCATGCCACCAGAAGGAAACACAAGGGCTGAGATACTACCATTTTCCCAAGTTCAGATAGGGGAAGTCCAGAGGCAGAAGTCGGGTTCGAACCACGGACTTCCTGGTCAACAAATTCGTGCTCTAACCACAGGAGCCTCTCGCCCCTAGTGGGAACTCGGTGCTCGCAAAAGCTGTTCTCCTTGAGGGGATTTAAGATGGAGGCAAAGTGTTGAGAATTAATGACGGAGGACAAACAAACGTCTCGTGGATAGGAAAGAACGGAAATTCGGTAACCACTACCGAGGACCGCTGGCATGAGCAGAGTGCTAAACACGATAGCTGAGTGGACGAATGAATTAGCAAAATAACTTTGCAGTCACTAACCCGTTAGACGGACCGTAGATTCCATCCCATTTTCCAATCAACGCTGTGACCCGGGGTCACCCATGTAAGTCTAGCGGCCAGCACACAAACAGATTTCAAACTCTGCTGTGATTCTGAGGCCAGTTGTTATCGGTCTAACTTCGTATATCGTAGTTCTTTGTGTTCATTCTGTCTTAGGAACCAATTTCTTTTTCTTTCGCAGGATGATGCTGACTTCGCAGCTGGGCTCATGAAGGATGACAGCCACCTACGGAACAAGAAACTTGCTACTTCTGCGCAAGACCAAAGTGCACCTCTCTTCAACTCCTTGGCTTCGTATGCATGTGCTGAGTAAATATCTTTATACTGGACTGAGGACAATTCTGTATAAAATATTGTACATTCGGGCAGTTATTTTTCAATTCTGTTAATATCTTCAAACGGTGAAACTGTAGCTTGCTAATGTCCACTATTGGGCGACAGAACAATTTGAACAATGAGTCGAAGAAGCAGCAAACCACTAGGTTAGTATATCCGAGTTCGGCATTCAACATGCTCGATTGCAGCAGCCTATAGAGGTTGATTTCAGCTCACTTTCGGATATCTCTGCGTTACCCTTCAATCTTAGATCTCAGCCAGTATTTTCTGTACAATAGATACTAGCGAAAACGATTTCAAGAGAGAGAGAGCGTACTCGTAAAAAAGTGTCCACATGAATACCGCACATTTTAGGCAAAAATGCTGGAAAGATGTGCAAACAACGTCTGCTTACCGTATTTTTCACAACGCACCATTGCAGTATTGATAGCTCAGCTGAAATTGACGATCACATAGTCAGGTCGATGGAAATGTATTTATTCCTTCAGAAACCATAAGACTATGGTGGCCCTCAGAGCTCGATGACTTCCTCAAAAGCAGGGAAGCCCACTCACCCCTATAGCTTCTGCGAAATTCGCGGAAGAGCTTCTTCCGTTACTATAGTACTCTTTTTCACACATTCTGTAAGGGTCGTTGTAGGACAGGCCAATTCATGATGTGTTGTTGCTGAAAAAGCATAGTGCTGCAGGACTTGGTGCCTTGACTGTTTCAAACTCTTAATGAAACGTTCAGTATCCTGTTGATGGAGGTCATTTGGGGGTTGCTTCTTATGTGCCCCCCCCCTGCATACGGGTGTTTCCTTGTAGGAGAGGCAGCTAGGATTAATATTGTAGCCCGTTTTCTGCACCGTAGTAGTAGTCTCGTTCAGTTTTTATGGGTGTTGGAAAACATTAATATCTCTTTCTAGATACCTCTTATCCAAAGGTGATTCTGACCGGAACAACAGCTGTGTTAGACGACATGCTCCTCCAGCACGTTCAGGGGACAATATTGCTTTTCTCCCGAGATGGAGAATGTATTTTCACACCTGCAATCCATACTTCACCAACTGCATAGTCGGAACGCAAAATCGACGGTAACAGGAGCGCTGTTCACCAGGTCACTGGATTCCATCTGGATCGAGTTCTAGTGTGGTTGCGGTTCCATATGGCACGATCCTCATCCGTATTTACATACGAGATCGCTCCAGTTGAAACAATAAACAATCGTTCAGCTGTAGCACTCTTTCGGTGCCTAACTGCCATGCCACCCGAAGGTTGCACGAGGGCTGGGATACTACCAGGTTGCCCAAGCCTAGACAGGGGAGTCGAGAGGCAGAGGTCGGGTTCGAACCACGGACCTTCCGGTCAGTAAATCCGCGCTCTAACCACTCTGGTCATCTCGCGTTGACTGAGGCAGCATCAGCAAGATCATATCGACTTTATGGTTTCAAAAGGGAATGCTGTTCATTTTCGTCAACTGAAGGCTGTTTTGTGCGTTTTAATCCCATCACCAACGTCCAGAAGGCAATTGTTACGTCGATTCGGAGCTGTCAACGGTCTCTCAGCTCGCTTGGGTCGAATAGCAAGTGGAAATCATGGAAAATCCAAGAGGTTAGGTAGTGGGAAACTTATGGAAGTTTGCATCCAGCCCTGTGTGCGCCCCGCATGGAAAATCATATGAATTTCACACTTTCCGAACTGCGATGATACTTAAGTATGGAACTTTCGTTAGCTATGTTAGCAAGGAATGATTATGTCCGCTGATGTGTATTCTGCCACTTATCTGACAACTAAGTCGTTCGCCACACAAGGAGGCGCAAGCGTTATATCCCTTGTCATTGTTCCTTCGAGAAAGATAGTAGTAGTACATGGTTGCACATTCGAAACGTGCTAGTATGACCTTGTGAGCCTGTGTAATGGATATTATGAGCAGTTAATTTTCATGTCGTCTTACATAAGTCCAGCGGGACCCATGGGGCAACAAGGTTTACCATGAGGACTGTAAGAAAACAAATGTAGTTGTATAGAGCTCGAACCGCCCTGTGTTGTCATTTTGTGCTCCAGCTTTATTACTGCAAATGTGCCAGCTCTTCAACAGGCACAGGTCCATCAGGTTGGTGGTTTCATCTTAATTTGATGCACGGACCATCTTGAAGCCGTAGCATTCAATGAAACCGAGTGAGCTTGACAAAAGTTGGTGAATTTCCACGGAATCTTGGAAAAGTCATGAACAACAGGTACTCCACAACGATGTTCATTCCAACCTTCCTTTGGTTGAAAACGAAAACTCATCAAGTTTACCACTTGGGCTTTCTGATGTAAATGGATCTTATAAGTTTCGACCAATGGTACGGGAAGCCTCATTGTTTTCTGTCACGAACTCCGATGCCCTGTCAGATTTGTTTACCGCAGAAATGAAGCACGATGGTGAGAGACATCAGGTATAAATTCGACTACGGTCAGTATAAGCATAACATGACTTCAGGTCACTGCTTGGACGGGTTTTGAGTTTCTGCCGAGAAGCTCACGTGTGTAGGTCAGAGTACATGGTAATATTATCAACTACCTAAAATTCCGTCAGGAATGATTTGAGAATAGCGGCATATTTTAGGAATGAGTTGGAGTGTGTTGTGAACCTCCGAGGCAGTAAGCGAGCGAGGCTGACTACTAACTGTCCGTATGTTGTTCTGATCAGAGCTGCAAACCACGTGACACGACAACGATCGAACTAACCAAAACACTGTAGAGGGCCCATCTAGGTGGTGACCGAGATCGTCTTAGCTATTAAATGAACGTAGACAGAGCAAATAAAACTCATCAGTTAATGGATCGAACGAGCCACTGTACCCCTGCATAATACACATTCGTTCTGATCATGGACGGGGATTCGTTCAGCTCTAGCGGGATGTAACAATATAGACAATGGTCATTTCTGAAACTTGATAATTGTCAGGTTGTTTGGGACTTACTGTGGAACAACACGGATCGCGACTCTCTTACACAGCTTTTATCACTGCCATGATGTGTTCCTGTTGTGTGTTTGAACTCTGCTCCCAAAGTCAAAAGAGCAGTGCTTATGAGGTAAATCGTGTGACATGGCAGTCTCTTGGATAAAATACTGATGGTTGGTCAGATGCTCGTTGATTTGTTCGCGAGCTTGACAACGTTTCTTCCCCAGTCGAGACATCGTGAGTGCGCGGTTGAGTGGGTGTTTCCTCCGTGCCTAGCAGCGTTTATATGTTTTTTTTTAATATCCAATTCACAATGGAAGAAGAAACCGAGTGGAAACAGGCATTGTCGGACGTTCTTATCATGAGTTTACCAGACGGGGAACTACAGACGGAATTCCACAGAAAAGCAATCATACAGATCAGCAAAGCTGCATCTGGACTTTTTTTTAGCGTATACTGAGACGCAATGCAATACTAAAAAGTCAAAAATGAGAGAAGAGGAAAGCCTGCACCGAGCTTTTCAGAGAAATGGATACCCCAGAAACCTCATCTGACGGACTTTCGGAGAACACAATTCGGCCAACCCAACAGTACAAGGAGAAGGTAAATGGATCACACTTCCATACATCAAGAATATTTCGAAAGCCACCGCACGGCTGCTACGGCAGTACAACACAACAATGTCCCACAAACCTGCAAGCACCCTACGGTGGAAACTATCAAACCGAAAGCTAAGATTGAGCACAATGTTGAGGACCAACGTCGTGTAAAAGATTAAGTAGAGGATTCGTGGGAGAAACAGGAAGGAAGCTCTCTATCAGAATGCGTGAACACAAACTTGCAACCCAAAGGCGCCACCAATTTTCACTCGTCTTCGTGCACGAAGATCAAGCTGGACACGAATTCGACTAGGGCACCCTTCATATATTGACTCAAGCGAGAACAAAGAGCATGAATTCATGGAAACATGGCGTCCCACTGAAAAAGCCATCAATAAACGCATGGCAATCGACCCAGTCTACCAAACACTGCAAGCAAAAGAACTACGGAACCACAGAACTCAGAGGAGGACAGGCTAAAAGGAATAAAAAATCGAGGGGAGCAATCCACTTTCTCGGAATATTATCGGACCGACAAATGGAAGAAGGATGATGACCGACTCTACAAAGTGACCATCCAATTGCAACCGAATAGGCCAATACGATAAGAAAAATCCTAAATCAAACGCGGAAATACAAGCGGTTTATCAGGAAAATGGAACTACCATACAACTTAAGAACGAACTAATCAGATTGAAGTAAAGAAACTACCAAAAATATAAATTGCTATCACAACCAACCAAATCCAAGGAAGAAAGACCATAACTCAAAACAAACCAAGAACGGATCACTCGGAAATGGACCTCATACATCCAAAAGCAGCCACCGAACCAACCAATGGAATATGAGGTATACAGACCACAAAGAAGCACGAATCCTGATCGGGCCGATAATACTACAAGAAAGGTACATACCGGTTGGCCCATCACATGAGAAGATATTGGATATTCTTCAAACAACTACTCGAATGCAGCTAGGCACGGAGGAAGCACCCACTCAACTGTGCACGGACAATGTCTCCTCGACTGGGGACGAAGCTTTGCAAGCTGATTGTCAAGTTCGGCGAGCAGATCAACCACCAGTACATACATCCGAGCTACCAATATTCTGACACATTGGGAAGAATAGTCCAATGGGATTGCATATTTTTCCCTGTCAGGATGGTCAAAAATGATTTCGGTAATCGNCGGGCCAATAATACTACAAGAAAGGTACATACCGGTTGGCCCATCACATGAGAAGATATTGGATATTCTTCAAACAACTACTCGAATGCAGCTAGGCACGGAGGAAGCACCCACTCAACTGTGCACGGACAATGTCTTCTCGACTGGGGACGAAGCTTTGCAAGCTGATTGTCAAGTTCGGCGAGCAGATCAACCACCAGTACATACATCCGAGCTACCAATATTCTGACACATTGGGAAGAATAGTCCAATGGGATTGCATATTTTTCCCTGTCAGGATGGTCAAAAATGATTTCGGTAATCGGTACTATTTCCTGGGTTTTGACGGGATTTTAAGTTGGCGATTGCACTAGGAAACATTCCGTGCCACTGAAAATCTTCCTCGATAAATATTCTCTTTCTGGGCTTCATCGAGGATTGCTTGGGAAATTAGCTGGTGTATTCCCAGTTTCCCGTGTGAGAAGAACAAAGCTATCAAGCAAGGCTGGTTTCCTGTGATTTTTCGTCTTGGCTAATACATCTCAAATGTATATGGTAGCAGAAATCACGTGGAATAGGTTAACATCGAGGGTAGATACACTTTAGTGGAGTAAAAATCAAAAGAGGGGTTGGATGAGGGGTGAGTCAATGGCTCACGGAATGAAGTAAGTGACGTCAATGTCAGGCAGGCTTGTCAGAATCTTGTATCAGTCGACTAATCGAAGCGTGAGTCTCGTCTGCTGAGTAAAGTTATTTGTGGTGATTGAGTGAATAGTGAAGATCGACTGATTGGTCCACATTTCGGACTGTTAAGCTGTCATTTACTGACATTTACCGGGTTCTAGATTAACATTTCCAGACCATCTGGTGCATACTTTATCGTTAATATTGTCCTGATTAGGAATACTCTCAATCGGTTAGTATTCGTTCGCTCATCTTCCTTGGTGGAATGGAGATGAGACTTAAAAACCATTCTAATCTTCCTAAGGATTTACCTAGGCAGCAAGCATTCCCGCTTTTTGCTGAAAAATGAAGTCCACACGTGCCTGGACGTCAGTACGCCATCAAGGAATGGATATTGCTGGCCCTTCATCTGCTGGATAATAAGCCCGATCAGCAGAACCGATCTTCCGAGTTCTGCAGTTCTTTGGACTAAGTATGGACTCTTTACGGAAGGAGCATTCTTCATCAGATGGATTCAGTTGATTTAATGCTTCGGTGGGTGATATTGTAGACGCTTATCGCCCGTCACAATGACCTTATGTGGCTAACTTCGAGTCCTTTGACCAGTTCATTAATACTTTTGGTGCGATTTAGCTTGACGGACCTGATTCTTAATTGGCTGATTTCTCAAGGTCAGAACGTGCAAATTTCGATCAGGTCGATACTCCTTCAAAATTTCTGACAAGTTCATTGCCTATAGCATTTTCGGATAACATCATGGTGAGTTATTACGGGGAGGTTATCCATCGTCACTCAACATCCATGATGTCTTCATTTTTAATATACGTGCATGTACCCATTTTAGCGGGAGTGTATCAATGTACACATTGGACAATGTGGTGTTCAAACAGGAAATGCGTTCTGGGAGTTATTATGCTTGGAACACGGTGTCCAACCAGACGGTATGATCATGACGGAAGGTGTTTCTGACGAGAGGGATACATCGTTCAATCCGTTTTTTTCCGAAACTGGTGCTGGTAAATTGGTCCCACGGGCGGTTATGTTGGATTTGGAGCCAACAGTTCTGGATGAAGTGCGAACCGGTGCCTATCGGAAATTGTTCCACCCTCAACAGCTCATCTCATCTAAAGAAGACGCTGCTAACAATTACGCTCGTGGTCACTATACTCTTGGGAAAGATGTGATTGATTACACAATGGACCGAATACGAAAACTGGTTGACCAGTGTGATGGACTACAGGGTTTTTTATTCTTCCACTCATTTGGTGGAGGAACCGGATCAGGGTTCACATCTTTACTGATGGAACGAATTTCGGTTGATTACGGGAAAAAATCTAAACTTGAGTTCGCTGTCTATCCATCCCCAAGAACCTCCACAGCCGTCGTAGAACCTTACAATTCGCTACTGAACACACATTCAACTTTGGAATTGACAGACTGCGCATTCATAGTAGACAATGAGGCGTTATTCGAGGTGTGTCGGTAAGTCGTAGAGTTCAAATCACTCATCATTTTTAGGCGAAATTTAGATATCGATCGACCTTCCTATGTCCATATTAACCGGTTGACCGCCCAGGTTGTCAGTTCGGTTACGGCCGCTCTTCGGTTCGATGGTTGTCAAAATGTGGACCTCACGGAGTTCCAAACCAACATTGTGCCTTATCCACGAATCCACTATCCGCTGGTCTCCTTCGCCCCGACCATTTCAGCTGAAAAGGCGTTTCACGAAAGGCTCTCGACACACGAAGTCACAAATGCTTGTTTTGATCCAATGAACCAATTAGTCAAATGCGATCCTCGCCATGGAAAATACATGGCTTGTTGTTTACTGTATCGTGGTGACGTAATTCCTCAGGAAATTCATCGAACAATCGAAGAACTCAAAGGCAAACGGAATATACAATTTGTCGACTGGTGCCCGACCGGCTTTAAAGTGGGTATTAACTTTCAACCTCCTACCGTAGTTCCTGGTGGTGATATGGCTAAAACTCAGCGCGCTGTTTGTATGCTTGCCAACACTACCGCCATTGTTGAAGCCTGGATCAGGTTAGATCACAAATTTGACTTACTTTACTCGAAACGGGCGTTTGTACACTGGTACGTTGGTGAAGGTATGGATGAAGGGGAGTTCACTGAAGCACGTGAAGATTTGGCCTCTCTAGAAAAGGATTATGAGGAGGTTGGATTTGACAGCGTAATCCCCGATGATGTTGATGAAGTGGATTGCTGATTGTGAAAACTTTCCTCCCGCTGAACAGTGCACTGTAAAATTTCATAGCAGCATGGCTGTTACGGTGATTACCGTAATGGAAAGGGTCGATGACTGTCCCCTGTATTATTACCGCAGACCAATACGATCGTTCGTACTGGTCAAACAGGTCGACCCACTGCACACTGAACTGGATTACGGCAGTTTTGTCTGTCGTAAATGCTCAGCTCGATGACTGTTCCACATTTGTAAAAGAGAACAGATCGATTGCTGATGTACAAATCGTCTTGTCTTCTCCCTAACAAATCGTTGAATTATTGTTAGTTTGGATGTCTCCGTTGAGGTAATGTAACTTGCCTGGGATCACAAGATATGGTGGCATCATCATCATGACCCAGCATAGTCTTGACAACGATAGCAAACTGCCTTACGAATGTCACCGTTGTTTGAATCCTTCCACCATATTCCATCGGCAGAGTGGCGACTGCCGAATATTCGCTGGAGCCCCGTACTCCTTTTCTGCCGTTCAGCCGATGCACAACTTCAATCTATTGATACAGCGGACTTTCCTTTGTGTGGAATTTGTTATTAGACGCGCAGTCAAAAGTATGGGTTTACTTCCTCCTCTGAATGGTGATGAGAAAGACTGCAAAACCGGTCTTGAAAGTCAGCGCTTCACTGTCATACGACCGCAGTTTTCTCGCATTTTGGCCTGACGCTACGTTGTAATATTCGGTCGATGGCTTTTTTCTCCGCACCCGATTGGTGGTGGTACAGAAACTTAAAGCGGCTTTTACAAATGTCCGTGATGTGCTACATCAAGTTTTAGGGTACGTCCGTAGTTGGATTGGGCCTATATCCCGTCTCACGGATACAATTCAACATTCCATCGCGGAGAGAATGGGTCATATCATAGTGCAACGTTCTGCTTGCTTCAGTACTGCATTGAGCTATACAGGAGGATTACCATAGAATATCCACAGTCTGTTACCAAGTTGGTTTATGAATAGAGATACGAAGGACAGTTTTTGCGCTTTAAACTGTAGATTGGAACAAAAATTGCAAATAGATCCTTATAATTTAGGCAACGATGGTAGTAGTATGTTGACCATAGCTGTCTTGGGGAAGGCTTTTGGGACAATGACTTCGGTTGAGGACTTTACGCATCTTTCTATTTAGGTTTGATTACTCTAGCAGCACCTCAATCGCTTACAACCGTGGGCTTTACAGATGACCGTACCCTCATGCCACATGGGTTGTCGCGTGATAACACCAGCTGACTTGCCTTGTCTGCTGCATATAACATTTTTAACAAACAAAACCTGAAGCTGTCGACGCTTTCCACTTTCCTCTATTGTTATCTCTCAACTCTCGTCCTTTTCCACTTGACAATCACCTATGTTAATCCCAGCTACAGGCACTTGAAGGACTGACATTCCGCATGTTCCTGTTCGTATCTGTCGCTCCACAAAGACAATTCAGACTCCATTTTTCCGCTTTTACTAAGGTCTTTAAAATACGAACTCTTAGGCAGATTGGTCAGCAAGCTGCCGTTGCACGCACTAAAGATACTTTATCGAGTGAAATCTTCTGTACTTCTGAAACTAGAATACAAGATTCAAGTGTAGTTGTTGAGCTTACGGTACCTCTCTATCCAGACGCTACAGCCCACGAACTTCGAGTGATTCTCCAATTGATGCAGTGGATTGAACTGGTGTTGGTACAATTTTCGGCCCGCGGGCTGAGGTTCTGTTTCTGGACCGAATACTTGACTCCGTTCTCTCCCGACTTTCTACTTCGATGTCGAAATGTTTCATTATTGCGCCCACGAACTATAGTTCTGATTCGTTGGAAGCCATCTTCCGAGAACTGACTACCATCTTGTCCACCGCGAATAACTCGGATAAAGTCGTAGTTGTAAGAGATTCAAATGCACATGTATTGCACATCATTTCGTTAGAAGGCAGCCTTGGTGGTATGTCTAGTCTGAACGCAAGACCCAGTGATAATGGTGAACGTCTTTTGCAACCTTGTACCGATCATCAATAGTATCTCAGCAGCATTGGCCCTACATTCAGTGAGCAGACCTGGCGTCAAATTGACTACATCACCAGTTATCCGTGACGCAGTTTCAGCACTTGGCTACCGATCCTTTTGGAATACACAGGTTGATTGAAATCAACCTCTGTTTTTCATTAATTTTTCCAGATAAACTGTGGAATGAGCTCATTATTTAGCGGTTGAAAAGCTTGGTGAGCTACAAGTCAAGGGAACATACCATACTAGTATGCATGACATTCCAAGTGGATTTGGAGGGATCGCTGACCATAACTGGGATTAGATAGCTACGGCCATAACAGAGTCCTGCTTGTGGTGTTTCTGGTCGTGTATATGAAATCCACTTGACCTCAGAACGCTCATTGTCACTTTGCGATATAAGGCACTCCATCCCTTTTGGTTCGGAGTACGATTCGGCTTGACGGTTGATTAGACAACAGCTCAAACATAGCCCATGTGTGGACAATGAGGAGTATTGAGACCAGAGAGTTCAAGAAGTGGGAGAGGCCAGTGCGGTTCGGAATGCACGGATCCCAATTTGTAACAAAGATTAGCATCTAGATCTCCCGGGGGATATTTTCAGCAGCAGGTTAGTTCATTCAAACGCTCATTTTGGTCCGTGGTCTGTGAGTTCATATCCCGTCGTCCGTTTCTGAATTACCAATATGCCTTTCTGTCTTGAAGCGCCATCCGGCTGCTGGGTCAGGCTAGCTTCTGGCTTTATTCGAGTAGCAGTGTACGTATCTGGGAACAATAAAGTGTTCCAGAGAATTGGGATCAATCTCTGGTGGTGTTCGTGTTCAAGAAGGTGCTCAAACTGACTGCTTTACCCACAGGCTTATAAGATTCAGTCGGTACTAACATGGTGAATGACTTTCCCTATACTCCGACGCCCATCTCTGTTACATTCGATGAAATTTACAAGCACAAAGCAGGATTTCAACCTGTCAGTGTGCACTGACCATATCTTCACATTTTGTCAGTTGTTACAGTAGCATCACACGTGCCTCCACCCAACAGTCGCCATTTCCCTCGACTTTAAAGAAGCTTTCGTCTCTGAGTAGATTCGCTTGTCTAAGTACCACATGCCAGAAAAACTCATACGTGCCTATATTTCCGTACATCCGGTCGAGTTGGAGTGCACAATCATCATCACCATCATTACCAGCTGTAATAACCGCGTACATGTCGTACAGTGGTTGTAGCTGCCGCAGTTGCGTTTACCGATGATTCGGGGAAGTGGAGTAGGTAGCTGGGCATCGGAGGCGGGAGCTGATAAATTAGTGTTCAAATACAGCACTGTCAGTGGGTTGTTCAGTGGGGGGGGGATTGGGAAGGGAGCTTTGCATTGCAGGGAATGGCTTGGACGCATGAGCGCCATTGAGGGCGTGACTGGGTCATGTCTGACAATGTCTAGAAGCTTTTTCAGGACCAGCGGAGTTTGTCAGGGATGTTCCTTCCTTCCTTGTTGTTCAGCTTTGTCATCAATGCTATTGTGGAGTACACATTTCAATAGAACATAAATCTAGGTGTGGAACTTGCCTCTGGAGAGACTAATGAACTTGAATTATGTGATCGATATCTTTTTGTTGTTGGACGATTATTTTCGGCACATAGTACCTTAAACAGAACGTCAGGGGCAGTCCTAAGTTTCGGCACGCGTTTTGCGCCTTCCACGGGCAAAGAATCACTTTACTATTTTGCGTCCTTTTGGGCTTTTGTAAAACTTTGGGAGAAAGGGGTGGAGTTTGCTGACCGGTTTACTTATCTTGGCAGCTGTACAAGTCGTGATTGTACTATAACGGTTGTAGTCAATACGCGGATAACGAAGGTCCAGACAGCGTGTGGCCCATTGAGTCAGAAATCAATTTCACCGAAGCCAAAAGGATATGTGAACAAGATAACTGTAGGATCGTTCCAAACTACTGGTTTTGAGGCTTGGTCCCTCCGACCCGAAAATGTTGGGCTTTTCGAATTTGGGATGACCAGTGTGTCTTCAGTATAGCAAAAATCAACTGGCTCTGGAGGGTACGTAATGAGGAGGTGGGTAAGACGATATCTGATGATTCTGAATCTTCAAAGGAGCAGATTGAACTTTCAAGTTTGAGTTGGTTAAGGGGTGTATTACGTATGCCCAACTACCTTTTCTGTCCTAGGTGACTGTTGGAGGAGGTTTCGTGGGGACTGATCACGACATGCGAACGTGAAATAAAAGCGGCTAAAGTCAAACTGAGTGCACGGGAATCTTCTCGCTCTCCTGGCTAGGCCCGTGTGATCCGACCTGCAGGATTTTGGAAACTCTGCAGGGCATGACGCGCAACCGATCCCAGCGACATCAATGCTGTCATCTTCTAGGCGGACTACCTAGCTAAAGTTCGCCTGCCGCTGTGTGCTGGGCTTATGGAGGTTGTGGTTCGCAAAAGTGGCGGCGTTGAACTTGCTGATAGCGCCTTGAATTCGAACACTTCTTGCTGGATTGGATCCTGGTGAACTGCGCTGTAAGGTTTTCCAGCTCAATTCAGGTCAAGTCCTCTCGACATAAAAACGGTGCCTGTTTGTGGTGTCCGCATTTGCCCCAACGGGCTGCAGTTCTAACGCTGAAAGGTACCCCTTTTATTGGGAGTTATCCAGGCTCATTCGTCAAGCAAGAAGCAGTGACACCACGATCCTGCTGGGTGATATTAATGCCCAAGTCGGTCATCTGGGCCCCTTGGATTCACACCTGTGTGGTGGATTCGGATTCTATGCTCGTCACATAGACCACAAAGAACGATTCCTCCAGGTGTACTGACCATCAAATGTTTTTAGTCAATACGAACTTTTACCATAAACGTTCGCATCAGGCAACCTGGGGGCCACCGGCTGCAAATAGACCGTGGACACAGTTGGATCACGGGACCATCAACCACAGATGGAGAACCACAATCCAAGTCTGCCGTTCCTTCTGGGGTATAACTTGATTCCGACCACGCTATGGTATATGCACGCTTGACAGTTCGTCGCCCTTCAGGCCCTCGTGAGTCAGCAAGTAGCATGTCAATTCGTCATCTTCGAAGAACTACCATAGCTCAACAGTATCGACCGGAGCTACCTCAACAGCCTCCCCACAGTAAACCAATATTGTAATGACGGCGAGCGCATGGATGAATTACAACAAAATATAAAAGGAGCTACGCTAACGGAGTTTAGTACTGTCTATCCAACTTCTCCGATTCGACCACAAGAACAATGGATATCGTCGAGATCGCTAGTCCTGACTGTTGCCTGCAGGCAACGTGTACGACGGCGCACGCATATCCCTCAAACGCCCAATAATAAAGAGCCTAGGGGAAGATCGAGAGCTCTGGTGAACGTCGAAAGCCAATGAGTAGGAGAAATCTTTTGCTACCGGAAACAGCCATGCCCGATTAACTGGCCATAGGAAGGCAATAAATAGTCAGTAAAACGATAAGTGGAAAATGTGGGTCTTTATTGCGCTTGCAAAAATGTCAACTGGGAAGATCGGTTGAACAGCTCGAAGAATATTTCCATAAAGGAAATTACTCACAAGGTTACTGAAAAATCTTCGGCCTTGTGAGTAGTTTCCTTAATGAACTATATACTGCGATATCTCGAATATCATGCCAACTGAAATATGAGGCGGCCTTTATGAAGCACATTCAGTTGAAGAATATTATGAACGAGGAATTCAGCTGAGTCTTTCGTGGAAACCCAGTCGATATTCAAATGAGTGTATTTTGTGTAAGGTTTCATGTGTGTAATGTGTGCTGATTTAGTGTCTTTCCATAGACCCGCAGATTATGACCTAATCCTTAGACACTTTCTGTCCAAGGCCTCTCTTCTTGAAGTAATCAAGAAGTGTATAGCGCGGTCTGTCCGGCATCAGTCACATCCTGTTCGCAATAGGTGATTAAAACATGGGGGTATATTTGGTCATCCTCACCTTATTGCACCATATTCTTTTGATCTTCACATATCCGGATTTCAATAAAGACATTCATTTCCCAGATGTTCAGACTTTTTATTATACACATCAGGCGATTGATTTCTAAGAACTAAGTATTGAACTACTAGTTTTTGCAACAGTTTGCACAAATTTCTCACACACTGTCCATTATGTGGAGGTTTTAGCGGCGGACCAAGGTCTAGGCAGTCCACAATTTCACATCGCATACTTTCCATGTCGCTCCTTCTGAATCCTGGTGTCTATTCTTCCATTTTTTTCCTTATCGTGGCTCAAAGCACCACCGTGCGTGCTTCATCATCCTAGCTAAGTAGGCACTCAAACAATGCCGCTCTTGCTTTCCTTCAACACTTCCGTCTATGACTAGACGCTTTTTAAGCAAGCAGATTGTCAGTTCCTTCCCACGGTGGTTCGACGATAAACCAAATACCTTTCCCAACTATATCCTGCGCTATACGTATTTATCTGGGTTTGTCATCATTGTCTTTTTTAAGCTGTTGCTATGGCGTGCCAACTGAACAAAAGATATTGAGCGTATATATATATATATATATATATATATATATAAAGC